ATAAAAGAAGTTCCATGTATCAAAAGAAAAACATATTTCTCTAAACATCAGTGAACGTATTCTACATAAAGATATTCTAAGAAAATTGTATAATATAGTAATATAATTAATACAGAGGAAAATTCACCTGATGAGAAATCTTATTTTCTCTAAACCAAGAGCCTTACTGCAAACAATAGTAAGTGATTCAATCAACAGTTAAATATGATTGGTTTTAGCTTTTTTTAATTTCTTGTCATTTCATTGTGGTACAGTACATAACAATTTGAAACGACCATTATAATCATACGTTTTATTAGATATTTGTAACTCCAATCTTTTTTATTTTTTATTTTATTTTCCATAATAACAATCATATAGCCTTGGTTGTTCATATTGTTATTTGTTAATACAATTGCATTGTTTAGTATCATTATTGTTTCCTTAATATTTTTTTAACCGAAAGTTAACCCGGCGTGGATATATTTTTTGCCTTTTTGCACCTTTAGAGTTAGCCTTCATTGCACCTTTAGAGTTAGCCTTCTTTTTTTTTTGGATATATTTTTGAAAATAACGAATGGCCTAGATTCCCCCAAGGCCCATAGTGAGGGGCGATGCACACTGAATCATGCACATACAAAGCAAAGGAGAATGTATGGGGGCACAAATGAAAATGTGTAAGCCAAAAGGGTAAGGGAAAATCATTGAAAGCCCCTTGACTCTACTATGTGGACATCTCCCCTACAACTGGTCCAAAACACTACAAAAATAATTAATATTATTTTCTTTCACACTTCCCTAATAAAAGAATTTATAATTTATAACCAAAATACCCTCCTCTCCCCCTTTTACCCATTTTTTTTATAGTGCGGCTCTATGAAATCAATGGGTCGAATGGGTCCCGTACGTTATTAGTGTCAGACCATACTCATTTTTTGATCCGGCACAAAAATAAAATGGGTGACGTACATATGGGTCAAAATGGAGATATATTTGTTCATGTGGGCATTTGAGCCATCAAAGAAAAGCAAGAAACATTTATGGCAACGACTTTCATGCTAGGCTAGCCGTTGCTCAATGCAAGAAAACATATGTGCGTTGGGGAGTCATTACATGTGTGCAAAAAAACATATGTGCTTTAATACCCAAAAAAAATGTATGCGAGGAGGTGAAGGATATCTGTAACATTAGTTAGTCTGATGGGGAGTTTTTACAAAATCATTACCAATGTCATTGCCAATATGTTACGCCAAGTTATTCACTTAGTGATCAAAGGTCATCGGTCATCATTCTTGAAATACATGTAGATTATGGATAGTATTTTGGTAGCCCAATAACGCATCCATTCTAGAATTACGAAGAATAGACCTGGGTTAATCTGTAAATTAAATTTTATCAGGCATACGATAAAGTTAATTGGAAGGTTTTACATTGCGTAATGAGAAGGATGGGCTTTAGATCAAGATGGAGACTATGGATTCAAGGGAGTTCAATTTCCACTCAATTTTTGCTCTTAATTAATGGGAAAGTTGTTGGATTCTTTAAAGCTTCTAGAGGTTTGAGACAAGGTAACCATTTATCACCTTTCGTATATACTTTGGTGGTTGAAAGCGTTAGTGCCATATTGAGTGGAGTGGTTTCAAAAGGTATTATATCTAGTATAAATGTTGGAAATAATTGATTGATAGTTTCACATCTTCAGTATGCAGTAATTCCATCATATTTTGTGTGATCCATGTAAAAGGGAGGTTACAAGTATGTGGATTTTTCTTAAATGTGCAGAATTGGTAACAGGATTAAAGGTTAACCTTAGTATGACCAAATTGATTGGAGTAGGTTATTCATAAAATACAGTGGAAATGTTAGCTACTTTATTAGGTTGCAGCGTGGAAAGTTTACCTAGCAAGTTTATGGGGATTTCTCTTGTGAATTCAAATCCTCCAAGGTCTATATGAAAGTTAGATTTATGAAAAGCTACGACTCTCTCTGGGAGGAAGGCATACTCTTATCAAACCAACTTTGTTAAATTTATCAATTTATTATATGTATTTACTCAGGATGCCGAGATAGATTGTTAAGCGTATGGAAAGTTTAATGAGAAATTTCCTTTGGGGTAGTGATGAAAAGAATAAGAAATTGCATTTGGTAAGTTGAGAGAAAGTATATGCACTGATGAGATAATGAGGTTTGGGAATTAGAAGGTTGAAAAATATGAATTCTGACTTGCTTATCAAATGGTGGTGGAAAATTCACCGGCAACATAATTCTTTTTGGGTAGAGGTTCTCAAAGAAAAGTATGGGATGTATGTTTTTTATGGCTTAATCACAAATCCGATAAATAAGTCATATTTGTCTCTTGCTTGGAGGGGTATTGACTATGATAGACCTATATATCTGAGACATTTTCGGAAAGTGATTGGGAATGAGGAAAATACTTTATTATGGTTTAATAAATGAATGGGTGACTTCCCCACTAAGATATTTGTTCCCGGAGGTGTTTGCCAAAGTTATTAACCCATTAGCTTCTGTTAAAGAGGCTAATGCGGGGTTTTCTACTAATATTGTTTGATCTTTACCTTGCAGGTATAGAAAAGTTTATGATAGATTTATTGATGAATATCAATCGCTTATGGAAATGCTTCAAAGTGTTTATATCTCACCAAAAAAAGAAGATGTAATCATTTGGGATCTTAATCACTCCGGAGCCTTTTCAGTTAAGTCAGCCTATGACTTCCTTCTTTGTGATCGGAGTAGACTGTTAAATGCTGGACTTTTTAAGATAAAAAAGCTCCATGTGCCTTTAAAAATATAACTATTATTATGGATTGTGTGTCAAGATAAACTAGCTACTATTGATAACTTGAGGAAAAAGGGTTTCATTTTAACTAATGTCTGTATTTTTTGCAAAGTTGATAATACGACGGCCCAATATCTTTTTCTTAATTGTCCATGTGTAATGACTCTATGGGATTGGGTTTGCTAGTGTGTAAACCTTTCGATATATATTATTGAAAATATAAGTCAACTTCTTCACCAATGGTTTACCTCTTGTATCTCAAAGATGGGCATAATATTGTGGATATCAATATGGGTGGGTATTCTTTGGGGTGGGCACAATATTTTGGCATTGGCAGCAAATTGGTTTTCTATACATAAAGATGTTAAATTCATCCAAAAAAAGACAGATCATTGCTAATCTTAGAGCAGTGGCCAGTTTATCTTTTCATAGATCAAGTCGAATGGGTGGTGTTTGGACACCACCCCCCGCAAATGTATACAATTTGATTTTTAATGGAAGCTTTTTTGGAAACCCATGTGT